TTTTTTAAAGACGGGGTTTCACCGTGTTGGTCAGACTGGTCTTGAACTCCCGACCTCAGTGATCCGCCTGCCTTGGCCTCCAAAGTGCTTGGATTACAGGTGTGAGCCACGGCAGCTGGCCTTCCTTTGTTTCTTTAGCCTACATATGCTCTTCCACCTGGGTTATAAAAATGTGAAGTACATCCTAGTTCCATGCTGGGCCTTATTTTTAACAAGAACTTTCCTGAATCTCTCAAGATATAGTGAAAGCATGCATACATAAACTATATTGAACTAAACTGTATTTCCTAAAAATAAATAAATATGTTGGCTGGGAGCGGTGGCTCAGGCCTGTAATCCCAGCACTTTGGGAGACTGAGGCAGGAGGATGGCTTGAGCTCAGGAGTTTGAGACTGAGTAACATAGTGAGCCCCTGTCTTTTAAAAAAATACAAAAATTAGCCGGGCGTGGTGGCACAAGCTTATTCTTCCAGCTACTTTCGAGGCTGAAGTGGGGGGATGGCTTGAGCCCTGGAGGCAGAGGTTACAATAAGCCAAGATCATGCCATTGCACTCTAGCCTGGCAACAGAGCAAGACCTTGCCACCAAAAAATAAAAACAAAAATAAAATAAAATAAAAGTGTTTTAAAAAATGTACTGCCCACCTTTGAAGGCAGCGATGGCACTATGAATGATGTGCAATTTCTTGAGTCAGCTTCCTTCTTGAGTTCCTCCTCCATGTAGTGAGTTAGTCGGTTAGATAGCTTTTCCCTGCCCCTACTTCCAGAGGGACCTGAAGATTAAAAAAAAAAAAAAAAAAAAAAAAAAACTGGAGACGTCCTCTTCTTAGAAAAGAAATGCATGAATAAAATAACTCCCCATGTAGCCTGGGCAACGTGGCAAAACCCCATCTCTATAAAAAATTTAAAAATTAGCCGGCCTGGTGGTGAACGCCTACAGTCCCAGCAACCCAGGAGGCGGAGGTGAGAGGATCACCTGAGCCCCAGAGGTCGACGTTGCAAGTGAGCCTCAATCACAGCACTGCACTGTAGCCTGTCTGATGGACTGAGGTCCTATCTCGAAAAGCAAAACAGGCCAGGCACGGTGACTCGTGCCTGTAATCCCAGCACTTTGGGAGGCGGAGGTGGGCAGATCACCTGAGGTCAGGAGTTCAAGACCAACCTGGCCAACATCGTGAAACCCCTTTTCTACTAAAAATAGAAAATGAGCCTGGCATGGTGGCTCATGCCTGTAATCCCCCTCAGGAGGCTGAGGCAGGAGAATAGCTTGAACCCGAGAGGGTGAGGTTGCAGTAAGCCGAGATCATGCCATTGCACTCCAGCCTGGGCAACAAGAATGAAACTTCATCTCAAAAAAAAAAAAAAAACAAACAAACAACAACAAATTCCCCATGTAAAATATAAAGTTTTAATAAAACCAATAAAGTAGCTACCACTTACTGAGTACCTACAATGAATCTTTAGATTAGAACTCTTCTTCATGAGGGCAAGGAGCCATTTGTCTCCAGTAACCACAACAGCACCAAGCAGAATATGTGCTCAAAATGTATCAGAACATGTAATAAATTGATGCCAGGCACAATGCAAAAAGCTTTACTTGCATTCCTAATTTAATATCAACTCCTTCCTTATCACTTACCACACGTACGCACAGCTTGGTGAAAGCAGTATCCTTAGCCCCATTTTACAGATCATGAACCTGATACTATGAGGGTTGAATGGCTGGGTCTGCTGATGCACACCTGTAATCCTAACACTTTGGGAGGCCAAGGCAGGGGAATCGCTTGAGCTCAGGAGTTCAAGACCAGCCTGGCTGACACAATTAAACTGTGATTGTACCACTGCTTTCCAGCCTGGGTGACAGAGTAAGACCCTGTCTCCAAAATAAAAATTTTTTAAAAAGATAGTTGAGTAATTTATATTTATCCAAGGACACCTGGTTAGTAAGTAAATGATTTCTCTGACTCCAGAATCTCTCTTGACCAGGCTTCTATGAATAGAACAAAATTGGAATGGCACTGATCAGAATATTCCATCACTAAGGTAGCATCCCAGTGGGCTAATCCACGCCAGTGGACTTGAAACACGCTTTGGGTTGCTGTATGTTAAAGGTAATTTATAACAATATGCCTGCAGAAATAGTAATATATTTTATCATGCAGTCCTCGTTACTATGATAGTTATGATCTATAAAGATACCAAAAACCTTAAATTAGCAAACACTGAACCATTGCTCCTAGAAAGAATACAGCTGGCCCCCAACTTACAATGGTTTGACATACAATTGTTCGGCTTCACGATGGCACAAAAGCAATATGTATTCAGCAGAAACCGTACTTTTCATCTTTTTCCCAGGCTAGTGCAACTAGTGCTATTTAGGGTAACAAATACATTTTAAGGAGTGGCCAAATTTGCAAATATTTAATCCATGAGTAATGAAGTTCTACTGTATATACATGTTTAGTATTTTCAAAGCCTGGGCTAGGCACAGTTGCTCATGCCTATAATCCCAGCACTTTGAGAGACTGAGGCAGAAGGATCACTTGGGCCCAGGAGTTCAAGACCAGCCTGGACAACATGGCGAAACCCTGTCTCTACAAAAATTAGCTAGGCATGGTGGTATGTGCCTGTCGTGCCAGCTATTTGGAAGGCTGAGGTGGGGGTTCATCTGAGCCCGGGAGGTTGAGGCTGCAGTGGACTGTGATCAAGTCACTCACTGTACTCGAGCCTGGGTGACAGAGTAAGACCTTGTCTCACACACACACAAAAAAGTTTCAAAGCCCTTTTCAGTCTAATGCTCTCCCAATGGAGCTATTTTGGGCAGCTCTTCAAAGCTGCTTTCAAAGTCGTGGGTTGAACATATTACTTATCTCCATGTAAGAGATTGCAAAATGGATGAATTAGCAGTTGAAATTGTCCTGTTCCTATGTCACTTACAGGACCAGTTTCACAGGCATGAGACCCAAACAGTCACATAGGGCCCTTTGCTCAGAGGGTCTCACAATTGGCTGAAAGTTTTACTGACATTAGCTTGAAAGCCTCGATTGTTTGTTAATAAAGCGTCCAGCATTTTTATTTTCACTGGACCCTACAAATTATGTAGCCAATTCTAGTCAAATAGCAAGTAAACAAGATTAGTAATTGGGGAGAAAAGAAATTTTATCAAATTGAACAAAACTTCTTTCAACGTGCTTTTTAATATGATAAAGTTACCACTTATTGAGGGTTGGTTGTATTAAGCTCTTGATATTTATTAGCTCATTTCATCCTTATGACACTGTGAGTTGGATATTATTTTCATTTAACACATTAACACATGAGGAAACTGAGGCCCAGAGAAGGTAAGTAACTTAAACAAGGTCATATAGTTAGGAGGCAGCATAGGTAAATATTAATGAAATCTTTTTTACTTAATAAATATGCTTTTACCACTAGACTCTATTGCTGTGTCTATTTTGTTTTATTTAGCTACAGTTGTAATAAGAGTTTGAATTTTGTTATCTTCATGGTGAACTTTTAACTAAGATATCTATGTTTTATTTGCAGTTCAACTATAAAATGGGCTTTTAACAAAATATAAATTAACTCAGGCTGGGGGTGGTGGCTCACACCTGTAATCCCAGCACTTTGGGGGGCCGAGGCAGGCAGATCACTTGAGGTCAGGAGTTTGAGGCCAGCCTGGCCAACATGGTGAAACCCCTGCCAATCTCTACTAAAGATACAAAAAAATTAGCCTGGCATGGTGGTGCACACCTGTAGTCCCAGCTACTCAGGAGGCAAAAGCATGAGAATCGCTTGAACTTAGGAGGCGGAGGTTGCAGTGAGCTGAGATCAAGCCACTGCACTCCAGCCTGCATGACAGAGCGAAACTCCATTTCAAAACTGACAAACAAAAACAGGCAATTGACAAACTAAACTTTTTATTATTATTTTATTTATTTATTTTGAGACAAAGTCTCACTCTTGTTACCTAAACTGGAGTGCAGTGGTGTGATCTCAGCGCACTGCAACCTCAGCCTCCTGGATTCAAGCAATTCTCATGCCTCAGCCTCCCAAGTAGCTGGGATTGCAGGCCCATGCCACCATGCCCAGATAATTTTTGTATTTTTAGTAGAAACGGGGTTTCACCATGTTGGCCAGGTTGGTCTCAAACTGTGGACTTCAAGTGATCCGCCCGCCTCGGCCTCCCAAAGTGCTGGGATTACAGGCGTGAGCCACCTCCCCCAGCCTTAATTGTCTCTTACTGGTCTCTTCCATGATGCTGAACTCAAACTCCAGACATTAGTGTAAAAGTTGTGGTTCTAAGTTCAATGATTTCCCAAGGGAAACAGGAAACAAAAAGATAAAATGGAGAAGCTGCACATGCCGGAGATGGAAAACTTAAACTACAGTTCAGTAAAAAAAACATTTCATCTCATATTCTTTACCTTTAAAAGGAAGTTTATCTTATCCTGTTAAAATTCCCAGAAACAATGCCAGGCGCAGTGATTCACGCCTGTAATCCCAGCACTTTAGGAGGATGAGGCGGGTGGATCCCTTGAAGTCGGGAGTTCGAGACCAGCCTGGCCAACATGGGAAAATCCCATCTGTACTAAAAATACAAAATTAGCCAGGCATGGTGGCACATGCCTGTAGTCCCAGCTACTTGGGAGGCTGAGGCAGGAGAATTGCTGAACCCAGGAGGCGGAGGTGGCAGTGATTGGAGATCGCCCTTGCACTCCAGCCTGGGTGACAAGAGCAAAACTCTGTCTCAGAAACAAACAAGCAAAAAATTTCCAGAAACGAATGTAGGAGTGTTAGGTTCTCTCTGACATACTGGGTTAGAGAAAAATATCTTTTCTTGTTTCTGCCAGTCCTTAAATTGGGGTGCAGACCTAAGCTCAACTCGTAGCCTGAGGCAGAGTTCTCAAGTGAGACACACTTGGATCAGCCAGTCCACTACTGGGCATGAGAATAAATGTTGTATGCTGCTGAGTTTTGCAGCATCATTCTGGCAATAACCGCCTAAGACAATTCTTTTTTTTTTTTTTTTTTTTTTGAGACGGAGTTTTGCTGTTGTTGCCCAGGCTGGAGTGCAATGGCGCGATCTCGGCTCACCGCAACCTCCGC